TTATCTCTTTTCCCATTTTCCATTTTTTCCCAATTTCAACCTTTTTTTCTTTTCCTTTTTAAATTCAGGAAAACATTTCTACATTTGTGAACACATTCTTTAATTCGCAAACATTTTAAATATTTTTAAAAATTCATGGACAACTTTCTAATTTTTTGAATATTTTTAAATTCACCAACATTTTACATTTTTTTTCAAATTGATAACTGCTTTGAAAATTTATGAATATTTTTTTAAATGATGAATTAAATTTCAAATTCATGAACCTTTTTTCAAAAAAAATTACTTCACGGACATTTATTAAATCTCTGATTTTCGAAAACCTTCATCATTTTTTTCCTAAACTAACAAAAAAATTGATAGCCGTTTTTACTGAGCAAAAGAGTAGAAGAAGCTCGCGGAAAACAAAAGAAACAAGTGAGCGAAAGCTTGATGTGATGGCCCACCAAAAACAGCGCCTATCATTTCGTTGGGTCAGCGAGTGGCGATGGTAGTCTGAACTGCAAGGTCCCGGCCCGAGTTCCATAGTTGTTTGTGTGACAGGATCAGGGTCAGACCGACGACATTTTGTCTTGACTTTTTGCGGTACGCGCGCACACAGATTTTTTACATGCCCCCCACGTAACCCGATCTGGAGGGGACACGCATGCAGCCAGTACGTACGTGGGGATGTAAAAACTAATCTTAAGGGCTCGTGCGTGCGCGCGGGGGCGGACGGGGCAGTTGAGCCGACCCGATCGGGTAGCTGGGAAACGGTTGCGATGTCGAGCTACGTACCTCTTCCCCCTCGCTCTCTCTCTCGTGGATCGCGTCCTTGGCTGGCTTGCATGAAGCAGCTAGCACGCTCGATCGGTTTGCCCAACTCCTCTTACCTTCCCGTCTCACCCTCCGGTCACAGCTACCCGCAGCTACAACCCACCGTCTATATACCACGGCGCCCCCTCGATGTCACACGCTGCGGTCACTCCTCCATCCATCGGTCTCCTCTCCGGCCGCCGGAGCAACCGATCGAGCGGTAGGCACGTACGTCACTTCCGTATTTCTGATGGAGAACTTCCGTGAGGGAGACGATCGCCTGCAACTGCAAGGGGACGACGAGCTGTTCCATCACTTCAACTATCTACAGTCTTCGCCGCTGATGGAGCAGCAGCAGCTGCTGCAGCCGCAGTCGTCAACGTGTGACGCTGCGGCGGACCTGGGTGGCCCGCCGGGGATGCCCATGCCCGGGCTGGTGGACTGGGCGTCCCTGCTTCTCCCGCTGGGGCCGGGCGCCGCCGCTGGGTCCACGTCGCAGCAGCAGGTGGTGGCCGGTGTGGTCGGGGAGGAGATGGTGAGTGGCGTGGCGGGGGCGGCCGCGCCGGAGAGTGGTGCCGGGAGCAGTAGTGGCGTGGGAAGGGAGGAGACGAAAGGGAAGGGCAGTGCGCGCGGGCGGGGGAGCAGGAAGGCGAGCCGGCCGCGGTTCGCGTTCCAGACCAAGAGCGAGAACGACGTCCTCGACGACGGCTACCGGTGGAGGAAGTACGGCCAGAAGGCCGTCAAGAACAGCGCCTTCCCCAGGTATATACTATAGATTTTTTATTGCTCATCGAGGCTAACTTGTGGTGCGTTTGCAGGTTAATGAGCAATTTAGCATGTGATGCGTATGCGTATGTTGAAATAGACATGTTGTGTGTTCTATAGCTGTATGTGCCGAAGTAGAGCATTTTGCTGTGTGTTTTGTGCAGCTTTTAGGTACGCGCACAAGCTTAATTGGATGCATGCATCATCTATAATTTGCACCCTCACCAGCCCTAATTAACCGGTACTGTTTAGATGCTCTACGAGATTGTAAGTTTTATGCTGCATGCGTGCGTTAAAGCGGATAGCTAGACACCGAGAGAGAGACGATGAAGGCCGGTGTAGCGAGGGAATGCGTCTTGAGTTGAAAATAACCACAAATCCAGAATTCCAGATATTCCCATCGTGGGTGATCTCTTCATAATGCGAATGCATGCGTGCTGCTCCTCAGCACTTGCAATTTCACAAAATAGACCATGTTCTGGATCCTAGTAAAGGTGATAAATTCTTGCATAAAGAGCTAAGAACCTAGTCAGTCAAGCACCATCTGACTCTTTGTTATTGCAATTAGATATTTTTGCTAGTGCAGGTTTGTTCCTTCTGGCCAATTGGTTTTGATCCCCATCGCGGTGCAATTAGTGACCTTATCGACGTTGTTGATTCCGATCGACACTTGGGAAGGAAGTAGGAAATGAACTATGTCACGGCAATGTGGGAGAGGGGGCGATGGAAAGAACCAATCGAATAGGGAAGTGATATGGGGATATATAGACATATATGAAGGGTTGACAATTAGGCTCACCCTACAAACGAACTTAACTTGTCATACCGGCGTAACTTTGGGTGAGATCGCTAAAGGCTGGAGTATGATTTGGACTATATTTGAGGTTTTTTAGAAACACATTACATACGTAGACAATCAGCCCTATGAACCCATATACACATTA